AGTGTAGTTTTATTGCATATTTTATACCATAAGCATTAAAAAGGGAGTATCAATAGGAAAGTAACAACAGGAACTAAGGGCCCCTCTCAATAGAACGTGGGACGGGTGTTACACGAAACATCACTACTTCCACGTCTAATTGTCTGTAATGGAGGCGGAGTAACTGGATCCGCACTCCGTGCCCAGGAAATGTTCATGACGCAGGAGGAACAAATTTTGTCGGGGATACCTACCTTGGCACAAAACCTGGTTTGGCAGCACGTAGCGAGGCTCCAGACACTTTCAGTGTGAACTCCAGACCACACACAACAGCCGCTCTATCAGCTGAGGCACACTGCTCCGACATGCTAAGGCCACTACCTGGGTTACGCCATGTCGCAGGTTTCGTGAGGTATTTTTGGATATTTAATGGATTGGATTACTTTTTTTCCCCTCCTCTATATCCAATCCAGTAATTTAGGTGAGGATCGGACTGATACCGATAATGTATATCGGATTGGTCCATCCCTACTAATTATTAACTGCAGAATGAATAAATGACATCAAAGACAGCAAAGAAGTGAAGAATTTAACTGAAAGAACACAAATTATTGATTGAAAAAGTGTAACCAATTGCACCTACACAACAACATCATTGATAATTTACTCAGATTTATTGTGAATCATTGACTGAACAACACAAAACATTTTTACAAAACATTTTTGTAAAATAATAATAATAATAATGATAATAATGATGATGATAATCATAGCATCTTTGAGGAAAAACCCTGGCAATACTAGAAATCATAGTTTTGCGATGTTCAGTTACTGAACCTCATTAATGTTTTCTTAAATGTTTTTTTTTTTTGTTTGTTTGTTTCCATTTTTGTAGGGGGACTGAATAAACAAATCTTATGCATGGATGGAGAGATGCACAAAACCAGACACCACTTGGTGATGTGATCAGCCGTGAAGCCAGTGAGTTCTTGGATCACACCTCTTTCAAAAACTATTGCATGGCCACTCACCTGTTAAAGTCACCTTATGTTAGGTGTTGCAAATATATTCAAAGATCAGTATTTAATACTTTGAAATGAAGTGCGGGGAATTGTCCTTTGCTCAGCGGTCACAGGATCATCATCTTCATACATTTCATTTACCATTTCTGGTAAATATGTAGTTTTTTATCACACCCTGTGCAGCCAGTCAAAATGTAAAGATTGAGTGGATGTGCTTGAGACAGGAAGACACTTTTGATTTGTCTGCCT